CAATATGCGTTTTTGCTGCCTGTTGCAGCGCTCTAGCGCTGCACGGCAAAAACGCATAAAAAATTATCACAAAAAAAAATTATAATTTCCATCAAGCCGGGTTGTAGCAATCAGGTTGACTCTGGGAAACCTAACTGGCGAAGGCGTAACAAATTACAGAAAGAAAGAAGGTAAGAAAGAGATAAGACACATTTCCGTCCAAACTAAGTCGTATACGTCTTAACTCAACACCGCGCGACGCGGGACCTCGTCAGTATGACGGTCGTAGTGTTTCATGGAAAAGGCAAAAAAAGGGAAAGACGGAAGGAAAGAAAGGGAAACGCTATGAATGAAGTTAAGAGGGGGAAGAAAAGGAAGAAGGGAAGAAAACTGCAAAAAAACAGAAAGTTTTTAACTTTTAAAAAAGTTATTTTTGAAAAAAGTTACTTTAAATTAAATTCTATTAAATTCTCTAATCTATTAAATCTGGGTTAAATCTATGCCTCAAAGACAACGCAGTAGCAAGCGCACAATATAAAAGCCTACAAATAGGTTCCACAACCCCCTTTACGGTAAGATTTTTTTATATATCAACTTCACTCACTCTTTCCCTTTATTACTCACTTAAATTATGTTATTACTTTACCTATCTCATTCTAATAAAACAATTTAAATTCCAATCAAATTCATACTAATTACCACACAATCGTCGTACTGACCACGTCCAATTGTGGTAACGGTAAGAAATGTATACGACTTAATAGACCGAAACATTTTTTACCAATAAAAAAAACTTTTCAACATTTTATTAATTCTTTTCTACCACTAAAATATCTTATTTTATTTTATCTATCTTATTTAGAACTTAAAGACTTCAGCGGTTTTTTCAAAAAAAAGTTAGATTTTTTGATGGCGAAAACGTACCTGTGTTGCATTACTGACCATTTGATCGGGCATGTCACAGGCATCAATTTTTGCCGTGTCTACAATATTGCTAGCCGGTGGGGGAGTGATCCCGGTGTCGTCCCCACGATTTTTTTCCTCATATTCACGTACATCTTTCAAAAATGTCTCCCAACGTGATGCATTATTTGATGCTGCAAATCAGTTCATTCGGTATTAATTTTATGAAAAGAGCAGAAGAAATAACGTTTGGGCGATCAGCAAGAACATCATCGAAGGCCGTCCCGACAACTTCTGTACTGTAATAAAGCAAGTTACGGGGGACGGGGGGAAAGGGAAAATGCTGGCGGTTTTAGCAGATTTTTACTTTCTAATCTTCCCATCGAGGCGACATGCTCCTCGTTATTACTGGAATACCTGGCTTTTGTGGGAGTTTTTTTCTACCGATAATTTTACTGGAATAACACAAAGATACTAAAAAAAATGCGAAAAAAGTTTGTTCTACGTCCCAAAAGCAGCACTTTCAAAAGCCAACGTCAAATACACACCTTCCACTTTTTTTTTTACCGGTTTCCTCAGTGCCTCATGTTAGATGGGTTCCAGATTTTCAAGAAAGCACGGTTTTCAGCACGCCTGCAGTCTCAATTAAAATCCAAGGCCATGAGAAAAGCCTCCAGGCCATGAGTGAAGCAAACTTTACCGTTCTTCCACACTGCACTGTGTTCGGTTCTTCGCCGTATTTCACATACAAAACAATAAAAACAACCGAAATTTTTCAAGAGCACACACTAACGGACTTGTAAGAACGCTTTGAGAATTCCAGACCTTTTCGTAGCAACAACCTTTGGTCCAAAAACTAAGCAATTCCTTGTCCCTCGGCTACAGATCTGCTACAGCGGATTTGCAAAAAGTCACTTGAACTATTTTAATAGGCCAAAAATCACCAAATGAATGACAAATTGAGAAAATCCCGGCCAAAAATGAAGCAAAATTCATTTTTGCCCTGTTCTACTTAAATTACGCTGAATTTGCACAAACAGCTCTCCTACTTTTTGCAGCATTCACTTAACAAGTAACTTTTTTCATAGATTAAAGCAAAATATACAATAAAATCATGTCCACTAA